ATGAGGAAACACATCCAAACTCCATGCAGACCTCAGGCCAATAATCAAATCCAGGACCTTCTTGTTCTAACAGTGCTTCAAACTGCAGATGAAGGTAAAACATCCGACCTTTAAAAAAATGAAATATTGAAATATAAACAAATTATAGAATAAACTGTGAAAAATTAAAGAATAAAGCATTTTGCAATCAAGCTTTGAAAATTCAAACAATGAAAAATATAACTGAAAAAAATGACAAATGTTTTTATTTTTTTGTTCTATTTGTCCTGTAAATGTGGAAGCAACCTGGGTCGGCTCCTCAAGGGTTTTTCAGGTTTATATACATCTGATGCCAACACTTTATCTATTGTATATGATCCATCCATCCATTATCTGACAGGCTTGTCCCAGTTGGGGTCGCGAGGGGTACTGGTGCCTATCTCCAGCTGTCTACGGGCGAGAGGCGGGGTACAACCTCGACAGGTCGCCAGTCCATCGCAGCCGGGCAACACAGAGACAAACAGGAAATACAACCATTCACTCAAATCCTGGTCCTTACCTCAAATCCTGGTCCTTACCTTCAGGGCCCTGCATGGACAGGCGCCTGGCTACATGACAGGTCTGATCCAGCCGTATACGTCGGTCCGTAGTCTACGGTCTTCAGGTCAAAACCTGCTTATGGTTCCTCGGACCCGTTTTAAAACCCGAGGAGACCGGTCCTTTAAAGCGGTGGCACCCCGTCTTTGGAATGAACTCCCCCTGTCCCTGCGCTCTCTGGACTCGGTGGACATCTTTAAAAAGCAGCTAAAAACACACGTTTTCACTAGCCTTCCAAAGCACATAGCCTGTTGTTTTATTCCCTTATTTATTATAGCTTTTATTGCATTTTATCTGTTTTTACTTGTGTTGTTTTTATGTTATCATGTGAAGCACTTTGTGACTTTGTCTGTGAAAAGTGCTATACAAATAAAGTTTACTTACTTACTCACACCTAAGGAGAATCTAGAGAATTCAATTAACCTAACGGTCATGTTTTTTTGGACTGTACCCGGAGAGAACTCACGCATTCTCAGGGAGAACATGCAAACTCAACGCAGAAAGACCCTGGGACGGGAATCGAACCCAGAACCTTCTTGCTGCAAGGCAGCAGTGCCACCCACTGCTCAGCCCCATTGTATATAATGGTTTACAATACAAAAAAAAAGGAAAAAAAACTTAGAAGAAGAAGAAAGGAACTGCCTTGTTGCAGAATGAGTATGTCTCCATTGGTTGTAATGTCACTGCCTGTTTATTTATTTATACACAAGTGAAGTTGATCTCCTGTATATAACTGTTATTTTCTCTTTTTTGTAAGAAAAAAGTCGAGGTTTCTCCTTGAAAATGTAAATTAATGTTTTTTGTTCAATAAAATAATAATTTTTAAAAGTTTAGCTCCAACCTTCGGGTTAGCCCCGCCCTCATTTAGGTTGCCGTGAGTTTAGCCCCGCCCCTCACACCTACGCGGTGTCAGCCAATAGCGCCTCGACAGAAGGCATCTGAGAGAAAACTGATTTCTTAAAAGTTCAGCTGCAGCATTAGACAGAGCGAATTACCATAAAGTTTTTATTCTCTTTTCTCTTTATAGTTTTTTTTTATCAATTGGCATTTTTTTTTTTTATCTTTCAGTGTTTGATTTAGGATAAAATCTGCTTTTCAGTGCTCTCACTGAGGGAATGCAGCTTCTTTAAACGCAGTCAGCCTGCAGGTGCCTGCTGAATATTTTATTTTATTATACTTCATTGATATTAATCAAACCATTTACATAAAAGAAAGAAAGAGCCCTTTGTTTCTTTATGTTGCTGTTTCGTAAGATGCAGAAACGGAAGCTGCTTTAGCGTTTCGTCTCTCTGGTTTCTCCCACCGCATCTCCGCTCCAGGCGGAACCGCCGCTTGTGATGCAGTGCCGGGACGCCGCCGTGTCCTCCCTCAGCTGGGCGCTGCTGGTCGGCGGGTCGGCCTTCCTGCTGCAGCAGAGCCGCTGCGGGGGACCTTACGGCCGCTACGTTGAAGCGGGCAGCCGCTGCTGGCCCGCGGCGCTGGGCTGGTTCGTTCAGGAGGTTCCGGCTTTCCTGGTACCGCTTCTGCTGTGGATCTGCTGGGGACAGGAGAGCGGGACCGGGGGGACGCTGCTCCTCTGGACCTTCATGCTGCACTACTTCTACAGGTCAGGATCAGCAGAGGCAAGGTGGGGGGGAGGTTCTGGTCCCTTCCGGATCACAGGGGTTCGGGGTGTTTGCGGTCGCATGAAGTCCAGGATCCGATCTAAAACCGGGACGGATGTTTGACACCTCTTTATATGGAAATCCCACCTGGTCCAAAAAAAGTCCTCACTTCACTAGGAAAATGCCAAACATATTTACAGTTTGTTAGTTTTCACCATAACAAAAAACTTTTTATAAACTTGTAGAAGATGTAAAAAAGCTGTTAAAAGTGCTCAAATTCTTTACTTTAATAACTTTACCTGCGGAAAAAAACAAAACAAAAAACAATCCGACAGCTTATCTCTTAATTAGCAGATCTTATCTCGTTAAGATTTTATCTCGTTATAAAAACGCTTTTTCTTTCAGATTTTTTCTCGTTATTATGAGATCTTTTCCCATAATTACGAGATACTGATCTCAATATTATGAGATAAAATAAGGTCTCGTAATTATGAGAAAAGATCTTTTAATTATGAGATAAAATACGTAATTTTGAGATATTATGTCATTATTAGGAGATCAGAAAGGACATTCATTGCTGTTAACCTGTTGAAAAAACGTCTACTAATTGTACTGATTGAACTTCTAAAAGTACAGGTACTACTTTGTACTTCACTCAGGAGAGGATTTAAGAAATTTGGGGCCCTAGGCAAAGACACACAGGGGGCCCTCTGAATTAAGAACACAACACATAAAACAGACCCATTATACAGATACGGAAATTTTAATAGAATAGACATCCATTATTTGTTCTAGGTTTTGTCCCTCTTTTCTTGTCCCTTTCTTGTTGTTTTCCTCTCTGTTTTGTACTCAGCTGACTTTTCATGCTGTTTCAAAAGGAATGAAAGATTTTTTTCCAAGCTCACTGATTGCTGTGATTCCTGTGTTTCCAAAAAGGCGACGGCAAAAGTAAATCTTCTGCGCCGCTAAGGTAGCTTCTTTTCATCTTTCTTTTCTTTTCCTCTCTTCTCTTCTCTGCTCATCTCGAAGGGTTGGCCCCCCAAGACACACTTAATATAATAAGCGGAAAGAATTTTATCAAAAACATATTTAATGTGCACAAATAAGGAATAGCTGTATCATGTAAAAGGAGCTCGGGGCCCTAAGCAACTACCTATGTTTACCTAATGGTAAGACTGCTCCTGACTTCTCTACGAAAGTAAAGAGATTTTGTATACTTGTGCCTTAAAAGATACAAAATACATTAAAAAATAATTCTTAAAAAAACATTTATACACAAAAAGAATAGGTTAGCTTTCCTCTTTTTCTGTCAGTGTTGGTAGAGAACATAAAAAA